CAAAACGTGCTCTGTGTAACTTCTACGGTGGAGGGTCTGCTACTTGTTTGTCTCCATGTAGATGTCATTTCTTTGCCTGGAATGTTCCACAGTAGGGTATTAAGCGTATCTCCCTTTCATTTGTTCAATTAAAAGTGTTTTATATCTCAAAAATACCTTAAAAACATGAATTCTTACCATGCGCAGACTTTCTTTTCTTTAGTTCTGATTAACCTGTCTCCAAGTTTATTTACATACTGTGGAATAATCAAGGCAAAAACAGTAATATCTCCATGGAAACAAGCAGGTAAAGTTGGATTTTTTGGGATATTCTTCGTGATTTAAAAGATACGAGGGTCATTGGCTCTTGATCCAAATTGACTGTGAGAGGTTTTTCGCTGCTGCTTCACACCTGATTCTGCATCTTCAGCGGCCGCACTCACCACTTCCTGTTTCACACCACACGAGTCACATGGTGCAGCAGCGAGACACACTCGGGCAAAGCCAAACTGCTGCTGTGAGGCTCATGATTCATTTGGAATAAACGTGACTGTCGTATTTTGGTCATTGTATATTTTTATCTTGACCAAATCTAGACGCGGCAGACTCTAAACTGCAAATGCCAAAGACAAAAACAGCAACGTTATTAAATACACATGTCAAAAAGAATAAAGTATTTCTTGTTTTCATCAATAATACACTTATTTTGTATTCTCTCTACACGATGATTTGAGACTAAACTATTGTAAGAGTCTGTTTACGTGTCTGAGCAAGAAGAAACCGGCTGCAGATGGTCCAAAAGTCTTCTGACCCGCACCAGTAGGCGAGCACATATCACCCCGATCTTAATATCCTTACAATGGCTCCCTGTTCTTTTTTATGTCCACTTTAAGATCCTGGGGCTGACCTTTCGTAGCCTGATTCATGAGACGGTTTCACTTCATGGAAACAGTCTGACCTCGCAGCATTAAAATTTGTTCGCTTGAAGGTAGATGGGTACTTTTTTGTTTAAAGACGGTGAAAAAATGCATAGCACACTCGGTTGGCCGATGTCCAAAAGCTTTTTTATTAACAAAATAACGTTTTGAAAAATATCGACAAGAAAAATATCTGATGAAGGCTTTTTTTTGCCGAAACGTTATTTTGTTAATAAAAAAGCTTTTGGACATCAGCCAACCGAGTGTGCTATGCATTTTTTCACCCTTGTCTGGCTGCTCCTTGCATTTGCACCTCTACAAGAATTTTCTTGTGCGTTTTCTGTTTCTTTTGATACTTTTTTTGTTTAACCAATCGCTGCTATTTGGTCGTGATGTATGTAATGCGTCGGAACGCTCAGTAGTGTCCAAGTAATCGCCGGCACAGCAGCAAACAAAGCAGAGAGTGAACATGTTTGTCAGTGATCATTATCATTTCTACGAGATGAACTTGCAAATTAAAGGTGCAGTTTGTATTTGACAAAGAAAATACAAAGGAGGATAGGGTATGCAGTCTGTTATCACAACTCGGGCTGGTTCAGGTCTTCGCTGATTGGCCGGTGCGCGATCTACAACTTCCAGGTTTCTTCCAAACTGTCTAGTGTATTCCAATTCCTGACCTAGTCACTGGAGAGAAACGAAATTGCGCAGTACGTGGCATCAGCCTGGCTAGACCTTTAGGGCCCTATATGGTTCCTGGTTACATCACAGACCTGATAAAGCCAGACACCTCCGCCCGTAGCCCGAGGTCCACCAGTCAAAACCTGCCAATGGTCCCTCAGACAAGTTTTAAAACATGAGGCGACAGATTATTTCAAGCTGTCTCCCATAAACTCTGGAATGAACTGCCTCCTTTCCTACGCTCTCTAGATAGTGTAGATGTATTTATAAAGCAACTAAAATGTTTCTTTTTGAACAAGCTGCTAGGACTGAATGTTCCTGAATGTATCTTATGTTGTTTTGTTTCTTGTTTTGTATGTGAAGCACTTTTTGACCTATGTTTTTGAAAATCACTATATAAACTTATTTATTTACTTACAAGCCTTTAGAAACCATATTTAAACTTTTATATGGTTTAAAATCCATTTATTTGACTAATATTTGGACTTAGTGTATTGACTATTGGCCTTAAATCTCCAGCACAGATGATATTTTGTTTTGGCCAATCTGCAGACTAAAAAATACACACAGTACTTTATATTAACACTTCAATACAGTGTACAAAATGCGACTACACAGCTCTCTGAAAGGTTTGTGTTAAAAAAAAGGGGCTGTAGGTGAGTTTGTAGTAAATAAAAATGACATAATTTGAGGAAAATAATCCAAATCGGCCCTACACATGCACATACACAAACCCATATCGGTCGATCTCAAATAGAAATAACAGTTCGAGTCAACAAAAAGTCAATAACAGTCAATAAAACGTACGGCAGAAGAGTGGACTGCTAAAATAACGGTGCTGTCCCAGTATGTGTCTATTCTAATTGGGGGATTGACCACTTCCTTGTCTCTATGGAAATGTCATTGTTCTGCCTGGAAGATATTATAGAGATATGGCATGTCCTAGCACCCAAACCTTTTTTTTGGTCTTTTCCTGACTAATACTGAGTTTATTAAAGTTTCTTGTATCTTAATGTTTGTGTTTCAGGTTTAATGTTCGTCTGACGAAGCGTCTGCGTGCTCTGAGCGCAGGGAGCCGCCCCGATCGACCTCGTCCTGTTCTGAACCGAGCTGAGTCTGTGCCGGGCAAACCTCTGCTGCTCAGACTGGTGAAATACTCTTTATTTAAGTACTAATAATGTGCTCTATAAGTACTAATATATAAGTACTAATAATGATTACTATGTGGGTAAAACAAATGTATTTATTTGTCTTTTTAATCTCCTGTTTTTAGCCTAAAGATCTGTGGAGCGCTGGTCGCAAAGAGAAAGAAGTGAAAGAGAAACCTCCTCCGGCCGCAGCAGAAGAAGAGGAGGACATGGAGGTACTGATGCAGAAAGATAAAAATGCTCAAATTTCTCTTGAACCAAAGGATCACGTGTAATTTAGTGTCCAGTTCATTTTATCTTTACCTCAGAGCAGTACACGAGATGACCACTGGGGGCAGTAGTGAACACAGCTCTATAAACTCTCTCTCTAAACCTCAATTTCTTGGCTCTTTTTCAACAGATGTGATCTAAAACGTCATACATTTTGGTAAATTCTCTAACTGACTGTGTGTGCTCCCTCTGGTGGTTATTTAAGAGAATGCAACCTCGACATGTGAAACATTTGGAAGTATAAATACAGTGACATATGTTAAGTTCTGTGCAGGCTAAAGCATAGGGAGACAAAAACTCTAAAAGGCATAAGGTAGAACTTAAATGTGTCATTATTTTGGGGTCCGAAGCTTATTCTGACATCCTGTCATTACAACATGTCTCTATTTAGACATGCTGGTGTTACGACATGACTCTAGACACTTTTTAGTATCGCTATTCTGATTTGTCTTTTTTTTTTTTTTGAGAGTTACTTTAGTCCCAGGCGCGTCTTGATTAGTTATTTATTTAGGCTATATGGTGTTCTCCGCAGATAGCCTACATCAGGGGTGTCAAACTCAAATTCACAGAGGGCACTAAGTCGTGTGTCAAACTAAATATTTATTGAAAAATTTCAATCCGCATGTTTTCTCTTCTTTTGAGATATGTAATGCTAAACCTTTTCTTATTAAAATAAATGTTTAATAATAGTTTTGCTTAAACATTGAATCCAGAACAAGCATGATATAAAATAATAACAATATTTTAAATAAATAATATCTCTATAGCCTATTTTAGCCAGTGGGCCAGCTCTAATGCATATTTGATATGATTTCGCGGGCCAAATATAATTATGTCGAGGGCCAAATTTGGCCCCCGGGCCTGAGTTTAACATGTCTGGTCTAAGAGTTCTTAGCTAGTGATCAGTTATTTTAGAATGACAGAGTTCTTGCTGTCTATAAAAGTGAGAGAGACAAAAAAAAAGTTCAGCTCTTTGATGAATATTATGAAAAGGGATTTACATTTCACAATGCTTAAAAAATAATGTTTATGCCGCTGCTGTGACAATTAGACGTCAATGTCTAAAGCAGCATATCGGAATAGCGACGTGTAACACATTATTCTATATTATCTGTTGTGAAAATGGTCTAACCATGACCACACTTCGTGCAGGTGGAGGCTGGAGCCGAGGAAGATGATGGAGACGACGCACCTGAAGAAGAAGAAGAAGAAGAGGAAGAGGAGGACGAAGAAGACGAGGAGGAAGAGGAGGAGCCTGCTGCCATGACAACATCCCCCCACAGCAACAACAGCATCACCCACAACAGCAACAACAACCACATCTCCCATAACAACACCGTCGCCCATAACAACAGTGTCTCCCACGGCAACACGCAGACAGACGGCGTAGTGCAGCAGCGCGTCCAGAGGAGGGCGTCAGCTCCGGCCGTCACCTCCACGTTCAGACCGGCGCCGTCCCAGTGGAGCGTGGAGGAAGTGACGGCGTTTATCAACACTTTGCCAGGTGAGACGGAAATCATATTCAACTTATTACAGAAGTTTCCTTCTTGAGTGTGGTTATGATTGAGGTTTTTGACTATCCCGGTTTCGTTGTGCATGTACACGCAGTATCCCGGTTTCAGTATCTTGAATAAGGCAGTATCCCGGTTATGAGAAACCGGGATACTGTAGCTGGTATACACAGTATCCCGGTTACTGCAACATAAAGTTGAGTGCACATGCGTCCGAAAGACAAACATGTTCCAGTCTTTTCATCACAACGGTAGCCAACATAAATAAATTGACCAACATAAAGTGACCATACCCTGAGCTGCACTAAACCTGCACATGCACAGTCTGCACACGTATGATCTCTGAAAAGTTAAATATGAACCATCTCCAACACTATATATGCACAGAACAGACTCACCATCAGCAGAACACCCCTCTATCACAGAAAAAACACACATATTCCACTGAGTCGTGTCCTTTAATCTGACAGAAGCTGAACTGCATTAGTACACAAGGAAAGAGCTGTTTTTTTTCAGCGCTTATAGTTTACACAAATGAGTCGTGTGGTTTTAAGTTTTGTTTCTGTAAAACGTAAACAAATGTGCGCAAAGCTGAATTATATTATCAAACGGGCTGACGTGGCTCTATAGTGGTTATGGTTTATATGTTGTAAAGCTGAGTTTATTTATGCAGAAGATTTTAATGAAGAATCTGCTGCAGTGTAGAACATGTACAATAGTGCTTGGAAAGGATCACAGCTCCTTACCGCTGATTAGGAACCTCCCGAGCTTCCTATGATAAAGGAGCTCATGGTTGTTTTTTTCCTTGTTTATTTGAACATATAATTTTTGCACTTGCACATTTGTAAGATTATGTCAAGAAACCGGGATACTACATTTGATCATGTACACAGGAATATGAGTATCCCAGTTTCTCAGCACCCATGTAAACAGCATATCCCGAATACTGCCGTAACCGGGTCGTCAACGTCAACTAACTGTAGGCTCTGCTCTGTCTGAGGCTTTATTAGACTTTAATCTGAGCTTTATTTTAACACAATCTGACCATAAAGATCTGACTTAGGTGGAACTACAACACATAAGCTGATTTGTCCTGTTAAACCAGTCTATTACACGTAAAATTACAGTCTAGCAAAAGCCAATAATTTTCCTGTTACTCATACTCACTATTTCTCCTAAACGGGACCATGAACGCACTTATTGATCACAGGCTCCTGGAAATGTCGTGTTGTTCAAATCCATTTAGTTCTAGTGTTTTTTTTTTGTTTTCAGACTTTTAAAACTTTTTTTTTACCGTGTTTGCCAATGTATGTATTGTGTCAAAATTGATACCTCCTACATGTATTTTGACAAAACTCTGGAGCTGCATCCTGTCTCCTTGATTTTTGAGGCCGTGATTGACAGATGTATTAATAGTCCCTATAATTACTATGGATTTATGTTTCAATATATGAAATCTGGAACAATATACGTATTTTGGGGCTAAGTATTTATCGTGCATACATTTTCTTTGCAATCGTGATGAGATTTTTGCCATTTCTTTATAATTAGATAAGATTTAAGTCGTAGAGGGTAGAAGAATTAACTTTTATGGCTCATTATTGGTTTATTCTGTTAATTATTTGTTGTAGCTCAGGCTTAATGATGCTGTATTTTTAAAAACTACTTTACTGGAATTATCTTGCTTTGTGTCAGTGACATAAAGTAGTTTAGTATTATTGTTTATCATGATGTGTCTCTGTAACGATATACTTGAAAATTTGTTATCATGTCAGGTCTATGGATTAACCAATCAGAGACATGGGGTCCAAAAAAAAAAAAATTTAAATAGCTGCTTACAAGTAAAAAAGAAAAAAAAAACATAAAGGACTGAGAAACCGCAGATATTTTCAGAATCAACAATCGAAGCTCCAAACTATTATTTATCTCAGGTACAAGAAGTTATTTATTTTGTTCTGAATGATTTGAACAGCAAATACGTTCTATATGGACTACAAAGTAATTTACAATCTCACAAAGAATCGGAGCAGTGTTCACTTTTTGTTGTACATGAACATTAAATATTTTAAGCTAAATCAATCTACTTACATCTGACAATTTTTTTCTTCCGCTTTATCCAGGGCCTTATATTTTAATGTCAGAATTCAACTCTACATTGAAATGAATAGGATTTGCACTTAAGCAGAAGTGTCACCATAAAGAAAATGTGTTTTAGTTGCATTTAGAGGAAAAAGTTGGCAGTCAAAAGAAGATATACTGTAGTTATAGAACAATATAGAACATGTTATACCACTAATGGCCACAAGATCCTGCTCCAACACCCCGTTGTCTGTTTGTAGTAGAGGTGGAGGATATTATACTAGAAAATGGGTACAAAAGTTGATTTGGAGAAATTTAGACATTGGAACTGGCAACCCAAATGACAGACTCATGATGCTCATTCTGCTTTCTTATTGGATAATCGTCTTGTAACCTAAAACACCAAATGAAAACATCATTAACTTGGCCATCATGTGCAATGTTTTTGTAATTAAGAATAAATCTGCATTACAGTTGTTATCAGTAAAAAGTACATTTGATTTTAACATGTTTGCCTCATATTTGTAAAATGTGAAATAAAAATGCCAAGAAGACCATTAGTATGTGTGCACAATCTCGAGACGGTTTTATTTTACAAGATATAGCGGGTCGAGATCTCATCCCAAATCTACGCATAAATAATTTAATACATTCTCCACTCTTTTAAACACTTAAAAGTAAAATAAATCTTAATAAGACCTTTGCAACTTCTTCTGCATCTGTCAGTTTGATTTAAATGTTGTTGAAAAGTCTTAATGAGGAGCAGATACTTCACAATTAAACCTTTCACAAATGCCTCAGAGGTTTAGCCCAGGGGCGAGGCGTGGTCCTATAGAGTAAAAGAGATCATCTAAAACATCTGGATTTAAAAACGATGTACAATACAAGACCCATCCCCGAATCTGCATTTGTGTTACTAAAATAGGAACTACAATGGAAATAAAATCACATGAATAACATTTAATTAAGGTAAGGATAAGGTTTGGAAGCTGGAACTACATCAGGGGTTAGTGTTAGGGGTTTTGTTAGCTCGTACTGGTCACAGGCTCCTGAAAATGTGCTGTTTAAATCAATTTTGTATTTGTTTTTGGGTTTTCTTGTATTAAAAGTTTGATGGTGATCCCGCCATAGAAATAAATCCAATCCACTTTATTTATATAGCACATTTTATAAACATGACAGCTTCCAAAGTGCTGCACAGACAAGTTAATTCAATAAAAGACAGTAAACAATGAACTAATAAAAAGTATTAAAATGCATAAAGCTAAAAATTATGAAGCAATGAATAAAATAAAATAAAAGACACAGAGGACCACACAGTTCACGCCGTGTTAAAAGCCAGAGAGTAAAAGTGGGTCTTAAGATGAAACTTAAAACTCTCCATTGTGGGGGGATGTTTGGATGTGGGGATGGCAGAGTCTTACAGAGCTTAGGGCCGGCCCCAGAGAAGGCCCTGTCCCCCCTGGTTTTAAGTCTTGTCTTAGGCAGTACAAGTTGGAGTTTGGACTTCAGAGCGAGCGTGGGGGGGTAAAAATGTAGTACACACCCAGGCCCCATCCACACTAATACGTAGTCGAGTCGTTTTCGTTGTGGATGCAGTGTTTGTGCAAAAATAATCCAATGGAAAATGGCTCCAGAGACGGAACGATCTGGTGCCGCCAGCTCCCACGAATTCATCTGAGACGGATCTGATCTGGCACTGTGTGGACTCCTGAAAACGCTGATACACTGATGTAGGTCTATGCACCGCGAAATAATTCACCGCCAAAACGCTAAGAGGATAGAATATATGTCCATTCATATATATGGTTTATGTGTACAACCTGCAGATGTATCAACCACCTCCAACGTGATAGAAGCACAGAACAGACTCACCATCAGCAGAACACCCCTCTATCACAGAAAGAACACTCATATTCCACTGAGTCGGTTCCTTTAGTCCGACAGAAGCTCAACCGCATCAGCGCACAATAGCGAGCAGTTTTTTGAGCACTCAGTTTATGCAAATTACTCATGTGGTTTTAAGTTTCGTTTTTGTAAAAGGTAAACAAACATGCTCAAAGCTGTGTGGATAGGAAAGACTTGCGGATACAGAAACGACATGTCTGGATGCAAATCGTTTCCGATATGGTGATTTGTTTCAGTGTAAACATAGCCCCAGAGTGATGTCACCGCAAACTCAGTTGTCGACTCCGATGGCCGCAATTTTTCGTAATTCTGAAACCCATGGACAAATAAACAAATACATCTAAACGACCTCTTTTACGTAGCTGAAATATATTTTTATTACTATATTTCCATATTTTACTTACTTACTACTTACTATTTGTACATACACATTTATATAATTACGCCTTATTTGACATCAGTCTTTTGGTATTTCTGCTACTTACTTAGACTTTATTATGCCATTTCTCCACTGTGTCCAAGTAATTTCTCTTGTGGATCAATAAAGTTTGTCTAAGTCTACCCTATGTGATAAAAGTTTTAATCTTAATTCTTGTTGTTTCAGGCTGTGGAGATGTCGCAGAGGCCTTCAGAGTTCAGGAGATCGACGGCCAGGCGCTCCTCCTCCTCACCGAAGACCACCTCATGACGAGTATGAACATAAAACTAGGACCAGCCCTCAAGATCTGTGCACACATCAACTCGCTCAAGAACCAGTGATGGACCAAGACACCTTTAAGACAAAAATATGGGAAAAGTTTGACTAAAAGACTGAAGCAATATTACTGTACATGTGAGAGAGGAGGCGAGGTTTTTATATAGAGAGACATGGAGAGGTAAACGAAAGACGAGATGGGGAATTGCAATAAAACGAGCGTAAAATAAGCTGAGACCAAGATTTTGACGATTATTGGGTTTTGAATAGGTTGCGTTCACGTTCGGTAATTTCAAATGGAGGTTTTCTGGTGGAGTTTCTGTCAAATACTTTTCTCCATGGAGATTGTTATTGTTTTCGCTTTGTCTGGAATGTTTCACAGTACGGTATTAAGCTTTTTTATCGTCATGGAGACCTAACCAGACCAAGTTACAGGTCAGATCTGTGGAGAAGCGACCCCGTTGAGAATCAGAATCCGTTTTCCCAGGCATTTTTGAGCTATGAAACAACCTGTAACTGTAAAGTAGAGCTGTTTTAAAGTCATACCGTGGAACATTCCAGGCACAGAAATGACATCTCCATGGAAACAAGCAGCTGCCGGACCCCCAACCAAAAAGTTACACAGTGCTTCTTTAAACTTGCAGCAAAACTAGTTCATTTTAAACATTTTGCAGTGGTCCAAATGTACTTCTAACTTACCTTTTATAAGCACTTTTCTCAACTTTCAAAGGTCAGATCACAGAAAACGGTACAGCTAACCACAACTAGCATGCTAACAGTGCACTTCCTGATTCTCAGACGATAAAAAGCTTTATAATTACGTGCAAATAGTACAATAAAGTCTCATTTTGATCTCCAGAGCTGCTTATACATTATATCTAAAAAATCAGGTATACCACTTTAATTCAATGGGTGATTCACTATTTTTGAAAGAAATATCCAAACTTATGACGCACAAATGTTGAACCTGATTGTTGTCGCAGCAATTTACACTTCAAAAACGAAATATTCAATCTTTCTGAAAAGTCAAAAGTCCTCAAAATGGTGCCTATAAAAAGAAAACAATCCCGTGAATATTGCTTCTTGAATTTTTTGGACGTCACGTGAACGCAACCTATGATATGTCAAAAGTCATGGGAAGGTTTTTATATATTTTTTCATTTATAATTCCAATTTTGTTATTAAAACCGTTACAGTAAACATTTAGGGTGATTTGAAATTTGTTGGAATTTTTATCCACCCGTTAATCCAACTCTTTCCACATATCCGGAGCTGAGTAGTTCCAACTAAGGGAAAATGTTTAAATATTTGTAAATTATATACATATATAAATCATGTTTGACAATTTTTACAAAAAAGCAAGCTGTTGTTGGGACTGGTGTCAAAACCAGTATAAAGAAATGTATTTATTTAATTATTATTATGGGATTTGATCTCGCTATAATCCAACATACAGGCTTGAAATGATAATATATGAACCTCCAAGAATCATTGTGTAAATAATATTGGATTTAATAACTGGATTTTAACCAACCCTGAGCTAAACCATAGAGACTACCAGTAAAATATAATAAAAAGTAAAAACAAAACAACTAAGACTAAGTAGAAATTGGCATAACAATAGACTCTGTGCACAATAGCGCCTAGCAACTACTGTTAGCGTCACTACTACCTGTCCAATTGTTTATCTATTTTTTTTTTTTTTTTTTTTTTGCTGAGTTGTGCTAAAATGTATAACTATTTAAAGATAAGGCAATGAAAACATGTTACACAAATAAAATTAATACTTCTGACACTGGCACTTCTGTATTTAGAAAGAGATATGTTTGTCTCTCAATGCTAACGCTGCTAATGCTAATGCTAATTTCGTAGCATTGTAAATATTAAAACAACCCCACAGATAATTGTAAAGTATTTTACATATAAAAACAATAGGGTAGTCTTTAATTTAATGATTTTGAATGTTAATAGGTTGTTTATTTTATGTTTTACGACTTTAATAAAAGTGACTCTTAGCTGAACTAGCTGCACAGAGCCTATTGTAATTATGCCTCATTCTGTTGATGTCGGTAGTCGATAAATCCGAGTCAGTTCTTCTGACATCCGTTATAAATGCGTTCCATTGCAACAGTTGGGGAAAATATGGATACCAGAGAAAGTTTAATGTAACGTCGCTAGCTCCTGATAATAAATAAAGTCTGTTAGTTAACGTTAGCTGTCGGCGGCTCAATTATGGCAGTTTGACTTCTGTCTATTGTCAAATGATGTGAAAGAAAGTCTAAATGTCACTATAAAGTTTTTAGAAGACACTTTCTCTGCACAGAAATGACAAAAAGACAGTTTTCCCCGTTAACTCTGAGCGCTGAGATGTAAATCCAACCAAACTAGCGAAAACCTGATTTGATTGGCCGTTCGATTGCACTTTCTCGAGGTGGAGGTCAGTTTTCCCTGAAAAAGAACAGTCTAAACCTAGATCAATCCTAGAACCATTCAGGGATTTGTAGGGAAGGCTTGAGTGTGAATAAAGTCAGAAAATTGTCGGCGGCTCAATTATGGCAGTTTGACTTGATGTGAAAGAAAGTCTAAATGTCACTGCAAAGTTTTTAGACACTTTCTCTACACAGAAATGACCAAAAGACAGTTTTCCCCGTTAACTCTGAGCGCTAAGAATTTTGCAGTGGCGTAAATCCAACCCAACTATCCAAGATTGTGTTTTGGAATCTCGAGTTGTTTGGCCGTTCCATTGCACTTTCTCGAGGTGGAGGTTGGTTTTCCCCAAGCCCGACCACAACAGGATGAATTAAACCAGGACTCGAACAAAGTCTAAACCTAAATCAACCCCAGAACTATTCACACATGCAGCCTGACCCGGGAATTTACCAGGAAAATGCAGGGAAGGCTTACATGTGAATAATTTCAGAAGATTGACAGGGCTATTGCTTGGTTTAATTGATTACAGTCATGGCTTCCTGGTTATAAGCCTATTTTCCTGGTTACAAGTCTGGTTTTCTGTACAATCTTGGCTTTTACGCGACATGTTTACGTTCCGTTCTCATTTAGACAAGCTCAAATTCACTTAATACAGCAGTTTTTTTCAACTTACTTGACAATAATTACAGATTTTTACATTTTATTTATTCATAAACCAAATCATGTCACACCATCACAGAAAATTCAAACTTTACCCAATCCGAAAATACCTTTAGACTCAAAATAATATCTGATTCAAACGTTTTACTGCACATTTTAACTTGCGTATCACTACTGGTCTCTCCCATGACTTTTAACATTTCTGTTTTATTGAATGCCTATTGAAATCCTATTGAAATGTATCGGAGGCCTTTGAGACGCACAAGAGCAGAGTCCTTGGTAAATTTCACAGTTTTAACCCGTAGCAGACGACTGTGGACTGCAAAAAAGAATACCTGCATTAAAGGTGCATTGTGTAACTTTCCCGGTGCTGGGTTTTCTATGTGCTTTGCCTGGAATGTTCCGCAGTGTGACATTAAACCTATTTATCTTGCATTTATTTCATCACGGGTGTTTTTATAACTCAAAAATACCTTAAAAAACACGCATTGTTACATTTTAGCGCTTGCCACTCCACAGATCTGACCTGTAACTTGGCCTGGTCGCGTCAGTTTAATGTCACACTGTGGAACATTCCGAGCAAAACAATAACATCTCCATGGAGACAAGCTGTTGCGAGCCCTGTACCAAAAAAAAAAAAAAAGTTACATAATGCAGCGTTAATTACAGCGAATTGACTTAAGTGTATTAATCTTAAATTGGTTTGTAGTTTATTATGCAAAGATTATGTGAGTTTTTACAATTTATTTCTGACTAGAATTTAATATTTTTTTCTTTTATGAAGTAAAATATCTACCAGTGACTTTTGTATTATTTCAAGTGTCATTTTCATAACCTACTGGCAGACGATTTTAACTGAAGAAAGAAAAAATATATTATAAACACGTCAAAAATATCTGAAAACAAAACAGAAAAAAAGTTGAATTCAAATGACTTAATATTCTGGATTCAATTTTAAACAATTTTCGATATTTCCTTTTTTGCAGTTTGTGGATACTTTCTGTGCACATCGACGCTCACTGTTGGAAAGTGTAAATCTGAAGCTATTTCCTGAAGGATTTTGAACATTTAATATATAAATTTGTCTATTTAGTTTTGTTTTTTTAGGACGTGGCGACGAGGCGTTCTGGCGTAGCTAACATAACCGCTGTGTGTCCCTGACTAAACTAAATGTAGACTTTGTACGTGGTTCATGAATGTTTTCTATCACTATAATCACACCAGGGTCGAGACTGCTGTCTTTAATCGTCACATTTTTATGGTATCCTGCTTGAAATTATTTAATAAATGAAGGAATAATAATCGCACCTTTTGTCTCTTTATTATTTTGGCAGCTGGTTTAAAACGGCTCTACTGTATGTAACTTTTCCAGTGGACTGTTCACCACTTTATCTTCTCCATGTCAAGAATGTTGCATTGTCTGGCATTAAACATCTATCTCCATGGAAACAAGACAGTAATGCCTTGTTACAGGTCACATCTGTGAAGAGGCAACCCTTTTCACTGTAAGAATACAGTTTTTTCCAAAGTATTCAAGCAATTATTAGAAAAAAAAAATTAACCAAAAATCAGAGGTGGGGACTTGCAAGGCATGACTTGGACTCGAGTCAGACTTGAGTCACTATTTTTAGGACTTGACACTTGACTTGATAAAATGGACTAAGATTTGGGACTCGACTTGAACTTGAAGGTCAACAATTTCGGACTTGACTCGAACTTGAGCCCTGTGACTTGAGAAGGCTTGAGAAGCACTTTTAAATCTGAATTCTTTTTATTCTGACCATAATAATTCACTCTAAGATCTTGTCAAGACATTTAAAAAGGAAAAATTAACATCTATACAACTCTATAAATACTCATATATAAATATACTATGATTTTTTTGAGAACAATTGTATCTTAAATATCATAAATTGCAAAAATCTAAGATATATTTGGTACGATGGTTTAAAGTCTTGAAATGACTTGAAGCTCAAAGCAGACGACTTGGACTTGACTTGGACTTATATGGGCCGGTGACTCGAGACTCGACTTGGACTTGCCTGTATTTGACCTCTGGGACTTGACTCGGACTTGAGGTCAAAGACTTGAGACTTACTTGAGACTTGCAAAACAACAACTTGGACCCACCTTTTTCTTATTTATTTACTTATTTATTGTTAAAGGAACAGCACATATTAATGAACAATTAAAATGTAAATATGTAAAGATTATAGTCAACATGGCTTATTTCCATCTTCAGTCCCCCTGCAGGTTAATGTCAAATCATCTACAGGACATGGAAAAGTGCAGCAACAATCACACAAAAGTACATAACACCAGCACACTCACTATACATACAATTCATGTCAAGCAGTTCATTTGAAGTTCAAAGTCAAGAGTTAGAGTTAAACCAACAGCCCCTCGATATAAAACAATTAGTAATTTGGTTAAACACAGTGACATATTTGGCCATTGAACAAACACTGTTTTAAAGCTTCAGAAAATGCTGCAGTGTTGAAAGTTTTCATATATGAGCTGCTCTGTATTCAATGTTTGACCTGCTCGATAAGCAAAAGAGAGCGGCCCAAAAGCACTTCAGTCATTCAGTCATTTTGATTTTGATTAATGCCATACTGTGGGACATTCCAAGCCTAACAATGACTTCTCCTAGCAGGTGGCAGACTCCTTATGACACAGTATCTATCATACGTCAAAGTTATAGAAGATAGATAGGAAAATCACCTTATATGTTTATGTAATGATATGTTAAGTCTGGGTTTATATCTACTACAGGTAAAATCAGAATGCCTTTATTAGCAAGGCAATTTTATTTTTAAAGCACAATTCGTACACAAAGTAATTCAAAGTGCTGTACAGAATAAGAAATACATTAAAATCACAATACAAACAAATCAAAACATAAATAATCATCATAAAATTAAAAAGAGCGAGACATTAAATGAGAGAGAAGCGTGCAGAATGAAAACATTTCAGTCAAACGCAGCTAAACAGAACCGTTTTGAGCCTGGATTTAAAACTATAAAGACTTTAAAAGACTATTCCAGGTTTTAGCTGCATCAATCTGAAACGCTTGACTCCCCATGTTTAGTCCTGACTCTGGGCACCAGCAGGAGGCCGGTCCCTGAGCTCCTGAGAGTGTGAGATGGCACCAACATGTCAGAGATGTAGAAAAAAGGATGGGAGAGGCACTATGATTTTGTGACACCTGCATGACAATTAATAAATACAACAAGAACTCAATAAAAATTCAAGCCCACTGGTTTGACGATCACCTGTATGCATAAGTTTTGATCCAGTGTTGTTATTTTTATGTCAGAAACGTGCTCGTACTACTGGTTATCATCTTTTAGGAACACCCATCTTTGTCTCTTCATGGCAACTGCTTCTTTATGCTTCTAAATCCAACATAATTCCTCTTAAAATGTATCAGGCCAATAACATTCCTTTAAATTTTCCACACATTCTGCGATTTCATTGTACTAAAGCAGCAGAAAATACATCCGCACAGCCAGCAGAGGACAGCAGAGACACAGGTGAGTGACCCTGAGCTGAAATGTGTCTTTAGTGAAATGCTTTTGTATTCGCTGCACTTACATCCTCCTCCGATCCCTCTGTTTTTCTCACTCGGGTCTGTTTTCACTTACACGGTGATTGGACACAGGTTTTTGAAAAGGATTTTTTACGCCACGCCCCAAGAAAAAAGACATCCAAAAATCATTTCAGGACGATCAGCCACCAGCCAACGCACAACACAGCATTTTTGACATATTTTTGGACTAATTTTACATTTTATTTTCAATATCTTGTTTATTTATAGAATTCAGAATAGCGTTTTTATCTCCAAGGAATTAAAATTTACAATATATTTTTTTATATATAAGTTTTAGATTTGATTGACAAGGAAAAGATAGTTACAAGTGGAATTATTGTGTATATCAGACATCTGTTTTGAAGAAAATAAGGTAAGAAAAAATACTTATTTACTTAATAATACGAGAACGCTGCAATTTTGTGTAATCTAACCAATTTTGTTGTATTTTAATAGAAGAATTAAGCAGTGCAGACAATAAATTGGCCTATTAAGATGCTGAATTGTATTTGAGAAGCATTATTTTTCTTTCTTTTTAAACCAAATTTATTATAAAGAAGTATGTTAAATGTTTTTTACATAATCAACCTGCTGACTGAACATTCCAGGTCAGGTTCATTACCAGTTCAGCGCATTTTTCTCTTATAAAACCAGCTAATTATATAAGAAATAATGTATTTTATTACTCTATTCTGGAACCAGTGTTTTAGGGGAAAAGCCTCATTATTATTAACTTGTTACATCACTTTATAAGCTTTAATTTGTACCATAATGTGAGTTTTTTTAAGAGAAATTTTTGCACTTTTTAAGCAGTAACTATAGTAACTCTACTCCATGACTTTGTTGATAAGACATGTGACCCAATAACTAATAAGTACTGCAAATGTTTTCTGTGTAATGGGCAGATTTGTACCCCAGATGCCCTCCCAATGTTTTATATAATAACTTTAGTTAGACTTTAAAGTCAACTAATCAAATTTTAGTAGAAATTCTGTCTCTAGAGCTATTCTGAACCGCTGAGTTTCATGTCCTCGTGACCTTAACTCATTTTTATGATCTTATAAATCTTATATTCTGAGTCAGATTCTTTATAGATTTGATCCCTGCACTGAATCAATTCTAATTTAACTGTATGTTATTTCAGATTATACCAAACAACAAAACAAAACAATTCAAACTATAGTAATTGTAAGTGTGGAGTGAATGAACAATGAACTGTAAAGTGCTTTGGGCGTCTTGAAATGCGCTATAAAAATCCAAAGATTAATTCATTTATGAAAATGAATTGGTCCGTGGAGATATTATTATTGCTTTGCCTGGAATGTTCCATATTAAGTATCTGTCTTGCTTATTTAATTAAATGTGTTTTAATTGCAAATAAATGCTTTGTAAAACGTGGATTTTTTACTGTGAGCGGGATGTGAGGTGAGTTTAATGCCATACAACAGCGAAACATTCCTGACAAAGCATAAACAGACAAGCTGGTAGCAAGACCTCCACCAGAAAAGTTACATAGTGCAGCTTTAATGTCTTTCCTTCTATTTCAGACATCAGCTCCTCCTCTCCAGGACTAAACCTCTTGTGCTGTAGTTCCACATCTCGACTCCAGATGGCGTTCATGTGCAGACAGGTCACCGGGACACTCGCCAGCTGCACCGGTTGGGTCGGCCTCATAGTTGCCACGGCGACCAACGACTGGGTGCGCACGTGCGACTACAGCGTGGCGACGTGCGTGCGCATGGACGAGCTCGGGTCCCGCGGGCTCTGGGCGGAGTGTGTGATCTCGCCCGCGCTCTACCACTGCGCCGGGCTCAACCAGATCCTCTCACTGCCAGGTATGACCACGCCCACTGTGTATAGGACACGCCCACAATGTTTGTACATAAGACACACCCACTGCATACAGGCCACGCCCACTGCGTACAGGACACATCCATGACACCTGTACACATGACCACTCCCACTGTATACAGACCATGTCCACTGTAAACAGGCCACGCCCCTTTCATACAGGCCTTGCCCACAACACCCGTACGTAATGGTGGGTTTGATTATCCATCCTGCTCGAAGGTCCAAGGACATTGACTAGCAATATGCACAGACATGCCCGTTTTTCTTGAACGCCGGAACTCGGAAGAACTCAGGAGCCCGAGCAAGGATTCCGAGATAGAATCCGAGATGACTGAACCAGAGTCACTTGTAGTATGAACTGGTTTCATTGTGTTTGGATGCTTTGGTGGTTTAAATGACAATTTCAGTCGCAGTACCTTACTGCGTCCACATCACTGCCTGTGGTTTGGTTGTCAGTGATGTCCATGTTTTTAGCCCATTTCCTGCCAGCTAATGTAGCAAAATGATCTATCGCATGACACCAACACGTACACTTCATTAATATACTGAATTATACTACTTGAATGCTTCCTCGAGATTTTGCAGTTGAAGCACAGACTTATTTTGGAGAGTGCGGTACTCGGTCAACGCTAAAGCAACAACAGCTTTCGGGTGAAGTCAGACACAAGAAACATAATGAAACGTATACAGACCCACTGTATACAGACCGCGCCAACAACATATGGACATAGACCACACCCACAACACCTGTACATATGACCACGCCCTCTGTATACAGACCACGCCCACAACACATGTACATACGACCATTCTCACAGACCAGTCCCAACACTTTTACGTACATGAGACAAGCCCATTTTGGACAGACCACGCGCCACAATACTGTACATAAAACACGCCCACTTTATACAGACCAATTCCTACAACACTTGTACAAGAGCCACTCCCACTTTCTACAAACCACACCCACAACACCTTGTCAAGACCAATGGATGCCACTAGTCTTGGTCAGGATCATGGATCTATAATGAAAAACTGGAATAAAGGCATTCCCCCTTTGTCCCGGCTAGTGGCTGAGCAATGCATTTTTTGGGAATTCAGACTGCCCGTGTTCAGCTGACAGGGCATTCAACAACTTTCACAAAGGTCGGATTTGACTCTTTTCTATTTACACAACATAAACTTTAAAAATATTAATTCCTCAAAGCGCCTAAAAGTTAGTTGGCCTAGCCTCTCTCTAAGCCTGCAACTCTCGCTCTGATTGGTCCAAATCAGGGGTGCTCAATACGTCGATCGCTATCTACCAGTCGATCGCCAAGGTCGTGTGGGTAGATCGCCGTGTCTCGTCTCGGACTCGCGTTTGGATTCAGTCTTGTCTCTCACTTGAGGTCTGATACTCAACAAGCGCGATCATATTTCATTATGGCCGCTGCCGTTTGCAATAAACTTGTAGCAGGGTGCAGGAGCGTGTTGGGCGTCTCAGTGCAGCCTGTGCGCTCATTTGAAACCCGCAGAGACTCTACGGCGCATCACAAATACGCACGCTCCCTACGCACGGCTCGTCTGCAACACCGTGTGCCCTCGTGTACCAGCGTGCATCACAGGGCAGGTTCAACTTCCTCAACATCCTACCTGTCCATCTGCCTCACGTCAGCACGCCGCCCCTCGCCTTTTCACGCTCTCGCTCCTGCGTACAGCGAACACAAGCCCCTCCCACAGTGCGCACTGATTAGAAGAGCAAGACGAAACGTGAAGCAAAAACGAGTCTAAATTTGTGTTACAGTGTTGACACAAAGCAGGTCTACAGCATAGAGCAGATCTACAGAACAGACCTACTGCCACATTTGGCTGAAGTTTGTCTAACAAAAGTGCACAAATGCATCTGTGTTTGTCACGATGTGCGTTTGGTTTGGTAAACGTGCAGAGGCTGGTAAATATCACTGCAAAACCAGAAAAGAAATGCAACTCCAGTTTGGAACTTTAAAAAAACAGGTTTAAAAATCTTCCTTCTCTTTTTTCACAGTTTTGTGTAAAGTGCAAGAGGAAGTTCTCTTAAAGAAGGGTTCTCAAACTGTGGGAGAGGGTCCAAAAAAAAGGGGCACAGAGTGTTTCAGTGCAGTTTGCTTGGCTTTGTATTAGGTAGATCATTTTGACTTGGTCATTTTGTAAGTAGCTCGCATGCTGAAAAAGTGTGAGCACCCCTGGGCCAAATGCTCCACACCATGCATGTTACAGACATCACATGGGTGGCAGCTCACCTGTATTGAGGAAATAAATAAGAGAAAATTATTTTTGACCCCATGAGCCAATGAGCACAGTCCACTGAAAACAATACAACGCCATATTATAGTTCTGTGGTTGGGATTACTTTAGCTGGTGGATTTTACCTACTCTGTGAACAGGGAGAAACATCCAAACTCCACACAGAAAGACCTGGACAGCCCGGGAGTTGAACCCTGTACCTTCGAGAGAGCTTTATGTTTATCATTGCAAAGTGATGGACAGTGCCTGGGTGGAGGTCTAGGTTTATATGTTTTTTTTAGTTACGTGTTATGAGCTTTAGTGTGGGCGTCTCTGAGTTTTACGTGGGTACAGTCGATGCCTCTAATGTTCTGTATAATGAGTGTGCCACTGTTAAACATGGACCAGATGCTGCACTTGTGAAATGTACAGATATGGAGTGAAAGACATTCCTCTGACTTCAACCCGAACTCAAAACCAGGAGATAATCGACACCAGACCCACCCTCTCTCTCTCTTCCTCTTCTCTCTCCCACCTTTTTCTATCTCTCTCCCACTATCACCGATCCCTCCCTTCTCCTTCTCTCTCCACTTTCTCTTTATTCCCTCTCTTTATCCATTTCCCTCTCTCCTCTGCTCTCTCCCACCTTTTTCTAACTTGCTCACACTATCCCCAATCCTCCTTCTCCCTCCTTTTTTATCTGTTTCTCTCCTCTTTCTCTAACTCTCTCCCCTCTCTCTCATCTTTCTCTTTATCTGTTTCTTTCTCACTCCCCTCTCTCTCCTCTTTCTCTCTTCTCCTCTCTTTTCCGTCTCTCTCCTCTTTCTCTTCCCCTCTCTCCTCTTTCTCTCTTCTCCTCTCTTTTCTGTCTCTCTCCTCTTTCTCTCCTCTTTCTCTCTCCCCTTATCTTTTCCCTCTTTCTCCTCTTTCTCTCTTCTCCTCTCTTTTCTGTCTCTCTCCTCTTTCTCTCCTCTTTCTCTCTCCCCTTATCTTTTCCCTCTCTCTCCTCTTTCTCTCTTCTCCTCTCTTTTCCGTCTCTCTCCTTTTTCTCTCTTCTTTCTCTCCCCCTCTCTACTTTCTCTCCTCCCCTCTCCTCTTTCTCTCCCCCTCTCTCTCCTCTTTCTCTCTTATCCTCTCTTTTCCCTCTCTCTCCTCTTTCTCTTTATCTATTTCTCTCTGCTCTCTCCCTTTCTCCTCTTTCTCTCCCCAATTCCCCTCTTTCTCCTCTTTCTCTTTGTCTGTTTCTCTCTCCCACCTTTCTCCCCCTTTCCCTCTTTCTCTCTCCCAATCCCCATTTCTCTCCGCTTTCTCTTTATTTATTTCTCCCACCTTTCTCTATCCCTCTCTCCCTCTCTAGTACTCCCTCACTCTTTCTCTCCATCCCTCTCTCTCTCCATATCTCCCTCCCTCTCCCTTTCTTTCCCTCTTTCCGTATTAGAGATGACAAAAACATTTGCAGTTTATTGCAAGTCATACGTCCTATAAATCTGAACTAGAATTAATATGTTGAAAGACCTCGAAAAAACTCTGTTTACATTTTAGATGAATTATTATATATGACAAAAATTAATAAATTAAATTAATAAATCTTTAAATAAATGTTTTGTTTTTTGCTTTTTAATCCTTTTTTCATTTAAAATCATATTCTTTGTCAAATTACAAATGATTCTTGCTCTTTTCACTCAAATTGCTTCACTACTAGAGCTGTGCAAAATTATAGAAATTGATATATCGTGATGTTTAATTTAATGGTAGATGTGGGTCCGGTCAAGCAGAAGTAAACAGCAAGGCCAAAAATTCAAGTTAATTCATCTGATATAAAAATGTATTGAACAGATACATATGTACTCTAGTTTATGAAACTGTTCCCCTTTATCTGTACCATTTTTGGTTCTAAAGTTACATACGTTTTTAAACAGACCATGTATGAAACATGGAACAAAAAATTATTTCCCAAATTTCAAAGACCTGCAAATCATGTAAATAAATTGATGTATTTCATCATATCTTGTGTTATTCCATCTTTGAACTGTTGATGAAGGTACATGATAAAAAAATTTAAAAAAAGTATTTAAAATGATAAAAATTTAGCTTGGAAGGACTGACATATTTTATAGAAATAGTTTCCTTTCATTTTGAAGTAATATTAAAGTATTCAGAAGAAAAAAGTTGACAAATTATGCAAAATCATGCACCTTCTACTTGCTTGAACAATTTTCCCTCCGTTACTTTTCCCTCCGTTACCATGACCTTTCTTAATAAAAAATCTCATTACTCAAAAAGTAAGAGGTTTTTCAACCTAATCTTGTACCATATGGTAGAAAACTATATGAAGCAAATATTCAAACCAGTTTGTTAAGGATATGTAAGTGAGAACCAAGAGTTATCACTGTTTGTATTTATTGCCCAAAAAGTGCTGCATATTTCATTCCCTCCGTTACCGACATGAGTTTTTAAAATTTTTGTCAACAACTTGAAAGAATATCACAGGTTTAACTTTACCCTGTTGGAGTGTAACTCTTTCCTACATTCTGATACTTTACTTATTTCAATAGTCCCTCTAGTTTCTGAATAAGAGACATTTGAATGTAAAAAAAAATCTGCCCATTTCCCCTTTTACCGCTTGACCGGACTCAGTATCAATATCGTGGGCTGCTGTTTTGAGTACTTTTGTTGTATATTTTACCAAAATATTTTGTGAAAGAGCTGCAGTTGTGTTTCTTGTTTGGAGAAAGGAAACTTA